ATTTTTATTTTTTTTAAACGTTTAATAATTTCATGTAATATTTGATGTAATCATTCTGTAAAGTTTTTATAAAGATATACAACTATATTTAAATATAACTTATTGAGATTGCAAAATACGAGTGGTTCTCGATGACAAGACCTGACGGTCTTCTGTGAGTCTCCGGATTTCTTTTTATAAAATTAAATACCTGTATAACTATATTATCTTTTACTTAGTTCTTATTGTATGATTTTGTTATTTAAATGTTAACGATTTTATTGTACTACGATTTACTAAAAGATTTAAGAAAAAAACAAAAAAACAAACAAATATGTCATGCAGCACCATATTCCGACCAACCCGCTACCTTGTTTTGTTCTTTGAACGATACAATCAAGATTATATTTTTCGGAAGGCTGCCTGCGAATCATAATTCGGTTTTTTCGGTTATCAACCTCGATGTTCATCTCATCACTGAACATTACTGTCCTCCATTTTTCTTTTCGCTTTTATATATTTTTATTTATTATAAAATTTTAATATTTGTAAATTTTCTACCTTTTAATTCGTTATATAGATTGTAAAGGGCTTCACGATAAGATCATGTGATCTTCTGGAAGTCCTACCAGTAATATATTCAACGTAAGATTTCGTCTCTCTGAATCTTTTAATGATTGTTAGCACCGAACTATGTGATCGTTTTATTATTCTTCCAATTTCACGAGCGGTTTTACCTTCCTGGTGATAATGCATTACTTTTACACGATCTTCATAGGTAATAGCTTTTCTGCTCATTTTTTCAAAAGAAGAGAGTTTTTTTTTGTTTGAAATTAAATACTTTTTTTTAATACTTTTAGTTTTTTGGTAATGACTCAGGTCATTAATAAAATATTTAATTAAAAAAGGTAAAAATCGATAAAAAAAAGCCGTTTCCACCGCATTTAGCACTTGTGTAAAGTTAAGATTCCTTGTGGTTCTTAACTTTTTCACAATAAAAATATTGAAAAAATTGATACATAATATTTAATCCTTATTTTTATAGGTTCTAAAAAAATTTTTTTTCTTTTATCTCATGTTCTATTTAATATGTGTGAAAAAAAAAAACTATTTTGTTATCTTTAGAAGAAAAATTAATTAATTTTATTTGAAAATAACTTTTTTTTCTTTAGTGGTTATCAACTTTTTCACAACACTGTATATAAAATATAGGGCAAACTGACCAAAATCTGGCCACTTCTTACTTATTTGTTTTAAATATAAATTCGCATAGCGTAATATAAACAAAACAAATTTTTCAAATTTTTTTTTTTAATTAGGCTAGACAAGCATGCTTAAGCACCAATATTTTAGACGTACGCTAAAAGACCTATTTCTGGCCACTTGGATATAATTCTGGCCGGTTCTTACCTAATTCTGGCCATCGGCCAGATTAAGGCATAATATAGAAATAAAAGACCGAAACTAAGCTTGTTTACTTATTACAAGTTTAGTCAGGTATACTAAGTAGAACATAGCAATAACTAGGATATTAAAAGATCAATATTCAAGTTAAAGACAATAAACAAAATAAAAACGAATAATTAAAACAAAATAAAGCAAAATAAAAACGAATAATGATTAAAAAGAAAATGTTTATCTTCATTTCTTTTGCAGTTATAAATATTTTTTTTCACTTTGTATTTTTTTTTTTGTTCTTGGAGTAATTTTTCTTCATTCTTTTTCTTTTTTAAAATAATATTTTCTTTTTTCTTTTCTTCTTGGAGTAACTTATTTTTAACTTCTGCATGTTTGTACTCCATAGCTTCTTTCGATGTTAGCAAAAAATATTTTTGTTTTAATGCTGTTTTATTTTTTTTTATGATTTGTGTTGGATAAGGTAAAACATCAGAATCTGGATCTCCTGGAAAAGAATGATTTTGAAATGGAAAATTTTGATAGATATCTAAACCTCCTATCTCTTTTTTTCTTGATTATTAATATTACCAGAAATTAAATTAGTTGCTGGTGTATTAGAAATGACACTATCTTTATTATTAATATTAACAGAAACTAAATTAGTTACTGATGTATTAGAAATGACCTATGTATGATCAAAATTTAAAGGTGGAGATTTGTTAATTGCTAACGCTGATATAGAAAAGTCAACTTCTTCCTCATTTGTTGGATTTGATGGATATTCCATAAACTCTTCTATTTCACAATGATCATTAGATAGTGATGTTAATTTGTCTATGTTATTCAATATGTTCTCACTTTTTTGATGGCTTTCTGATGGCATGTATAGAGAATTAGAAATGTAAGCTTCGGTTGGAACTATATTTGGATCATATGGATAGATTCCACAAGCTCGAAAACCAGATTTAATATTATTTACAGTAACAGATTCACTCCAAGCCTGCTTCATCAAGCCACAAAAACTAACTTTCGAAACTAGTGTCCCAGGAAAATTACTAATCAAATTCTCACATGCTTTTCTGTAAGCTTTTTTGAGTGGGCCAAACACTGTCCTATCACAAGGTTGTAGCCAGTTGGAAGTGTGCGCAGGCAATTCAACAATGTGTATTTTGTTTGCCACAGCCACATATAATAACTCAACAAAGTTGTGTGAGTCATGTCCATCTAAAATAAGTAACTGAGGTCTGTCAGAACCAATATTTGGAAGAAATGACTTTGTAAACCAGAGAAACGCAATGCCCTGCTTTGTCCAACCACTGTCTGAAACACTCCATGTGCTTCCTTCAGGGGCATTTTCAATTTGAAAATTGCACAGAGATCTTATAGTTTTTCCTTTTACTATAAAATGTGGAGGAATAGAGTTACCAGTTGGATTAAAGCATGCTATAACAGTAATCGTTTCCTGATTACCTAAAGTACGACTATGTAGATACTTTACTCCTTTTTTAGCAATTATTTTTTCAGAGCGATAATCAAACTGCATACCAGTTTCGTCCATATTCCAAATGTTTTGTGTTTTATTATTTAAGTTGTTTTCCATTAATACATTTTTGAGAACAGAAAAATATTTTGAAACTTTAGAAGCATTCATACATTGATGTCTAATAGCAGCTGTTCTTTCTGGTTGACGTAAAGTAAAGTGCTTGTGCCTTTTGCACATTCCACACCACCATTTTTCAGAAGGTGTTCCATTCTTAAATGATTTTTTATGTTTTAAAGCAAAGTTTTCTGCATATTTAAAAAATTGAAATCGGCCGAATCCTATTCCTAAAGATGCACGATTGCATGCAAAATCTACTATTTTATTTTCTTCTTCTGCAGTTAGAGTAGTTGGATGTCCGGGTTTGGCTCCAATTTCGGTTACTCCAGATAGTCGAACTTGCAAAGAACTTCTTGGAACGCCAAAGGTTTTACAAGCAGCTCTCTGTGAAAATCCATTTCTTACAGCTTCAACTGCTGATATCATAGATGCATTATTCCATAGACAGTGTTTTCCACGTTTACTTCTAGGCACTTTGATTTTCTTTGAATTATTTTTAACTATTTTATTTTTCTTCATTTTTTCCATTCTAAAGAAAATTGAAAAAAATAAAATTATTATGATTCTTGTGGCTAATGCTGTCTGTTTTTTACATTTATCTTATTGTATATGTAAGATTATATTATTAACAGCAATAATATAATATTTATAATAGTATATGTTTATGTTTATATGTAACATATATATATATATATATATATATATATATATATATATATATATATATATATATATATATATATATATATATATATATATATATATATATATATATCATATATATGTATGTATGTATGTATGTATGTATGTATGTATGTATGTATGTATGTATATATATATATATATATGTATAAATTTATATATATAATATTTAGTTTAACGTTCATGATTTCACACTTGGTGTGGCTTAAATGGTTTTTCATATTTCATATTATCATAATATATCATATTTCATAAATATATATATATATATATATATATATATTTATATATATATATATGTATATATATATATATATATATATATATATATGTATATAATATATATGTGTATATATATATATCATATATATGGTATGTTACATGAAATCATTTCATGTAACATATATATTATATACATATATGTATACATATATATATATATATATATATATATATATATATATATATATATATATTTATATATATGTATTTATATATTATATATATACATATATTATAATATAATATATAAATACATATATATAAATTTATATATATATATATATATATATATATGTATGTAATATATATATTACATGAAATGATTTCATGTAACATACCATATATATGATATATATATACACATATATATTATATACATATATATATATATATATATATATATATATATATATATATATATATATATATAAATTAAATAAAAATTATATAAAGTTATTGTACATATATATTAGGTACATGGACTGATTTTTTTTAATTGAACATATACTAGAATGTTATATATCACTAAAAAGCCCTTCAAAAATGTATTTTAATGGTGAAAAAATTATTAAAAACGAACAATTTAAAAAAAAGTTATGACGTTTTTAGTAGCAAATTTTCGATATATGAATTTCTTGAAAAAACTGGTTCCAAAATTAATTTTTTTTTCACTGAAATTGTTATAACTTTGTCAAATCTTATCCAAATGCCTATACCTTGGTATCAAAAGATAGATGTAATAGTAGGCTACAAGTTCATATAGCTCTATAGATAAAAGGGGTGTCTAGGGGGCCAGAGGGGGTAACGAAACACAATCGAAACCTTAAAAAAATGCAAGTTTTTCACACGAAAGAGTATTTTGCTGATAAAATTTGTTATCTTTATACACAAAAAGTTGTTCTAATTTGCTTCCATTACTTTTCCAAATATTATTGGTCTATTTTAGATTAAAGGGTGGATGTATTTGTTACGTTTTAACACCCTTGTAGTGAAATGTTACCATCTTATAAATATTTGAGCCTAAAAAACACTGATTATATTTTGTGTTAAAGACTTTAAATTATATTTTTTTACTTAACAGAATATACAAGTGGTGCATAAATTGACATTAGGGGCGGAACGATGCCAAGCTTAACGCCCCTCCCCCCCTTCCTCTCAGTCTTCTCCAACCTAAAAAAAAATTTAAAAGATATTTAAAAAATGGTTTTAAACTGAGTTTATTTGAAAAGAGAAATTAGTATTTAAGATTATTTTACCATGTTAGTGAGGGAAGGGGTGTGTGCCACGCCCAACGTCCCCCCCCACCTCTTCTTATTTAAACTTTAAAAAATTGTCTATAAAAATTTCAAAAATCTCTTTAAATTATGTAAAAAGCAAGACATAACTTTAATAATCTTACCACATTACAAGATGCAGGTTGGAGTATCCACCCTAAAAATTAACTAGTTTTAAAACTTATATTTTAAAAAGTTTTAAAATACAAACTATAGAATTTATGTCTTGGCTTTTAGTAAATGATATTATTTAAAATTCCAATAATGAAACTAAATAAATCATTTTTAACAATAGACACCACGAGAAGGTAAACCAGAGCCGTCTATCAAAAAAATTTTGCAAGCTACACAACTTGCTGTACCATATTTGCAAGCTAAACAACTTGCGGTACTCTTATTGCAAGCTACACAACTTGCTGTACCATATTTGCAAGCTACACAACTTGCGGTACTCCTTTTGCAAGCTACACAACTTGCTGTACCATATTTGCAAGCTAAACAACTTGCGGTACTCTTTTTGCAAGCTACACAACTTGCTGTACCATATTTGCAAGCTACACAACTACAAAATTCAATAAAACTTGTACAATCCCTTTTATAATTTCTAGTCATTTCTAGTTGAAGTGTTAATAACATTATAGAGTTGATGTTTAGTAGTGTTCAAACAAAATAACTCATCTACTTGTTTAAGAGTGACTCATTGTTGTTAGTGAATAATAAAATTAAATGTCCATTTTTACAGTGTGTGTGTAGTTTGTCATGCAAAGTGAAGTTTAGAGCTAAATACTTTTTCACTCCATCCTGTAACACACATCCACTCTTTTTTGGACCCATAATTCCTTTAAAATGTATATTGAGCGTTACTATATTATAATTTTAATTAAATTTCTTAAAAGGTAAATCAATAACATATAATAATTTGTCAACATTCCATAACATTATAATGCAACATGTAAACAAATGTATTAAATAAAATATAATTAAAAAATCTCGTTTATACCTCACAAAACAAGTATTGGTTGCAAGGAAGAAGTATTTCAATATTAACAATGCTAATATAATTTTTAGGAACTGTAAACATAAGCCAAACAAGTTTAAGATTAATGAATGTCAAAGAAACAGTTTCAATAAACTGAAATATAAATAGTAAAAATGTATAAGACTCTTAACATTTATAAACTTTTGAAAGTTACACATATATTTATTATATTTATTATGGGCTACAAAATCCTTCAAAAATTCTTTTAGTACATATAATATAAATAGTACAAATGCAAAAGACTCTTAACATTTATCAACTATTGAAAGTTACACATATACTTATTATATTTATTATGGGCTAGGAAATCCTTCAAAAACTCTTTTAGTACATAAAATATGAAAACTATTTATAGTTACAACTTTAATAATTTTTATACTACAATTTTTAAAGACATTGAAAAAAAATATTTTTCTTACAAACTAGTTCACTTGACAGTGTTTCATTTGTAAATTATTTTGGAAAAAAAATTAAACTTTAATAATTGTAAAAATTAAGACAGCATGGAAAACAAACTTGATAATGTTATATATTTATTTAAAAAAAAAATAAAGGAGTGGTGGCGCCTAGTAATAGTGGATGCCACCATTCACAACAAGGCCGCCACCATTCCGTCTTCGCAAAAAAATCCACCGCAAAAATGAACGATTGCTCATCGGTCCAGGGTGCTGGTCCCTATATCTTCTATAGGCACCATAGGTAAGCTCTAAAAGACAATAAATTGTAACTACATTAGTATTGAATGGTAAAAAATAACAAATAATACAAACCAATTATTTGATTGGCTGCATTAATAAAATTAACAAATAATAAATCAATGATAGCTTAAAAAATGTTAATTAAAGTAAAAAATCAAATACTGCTCTGGGTTTTTACTTCTACTGCACTTTGAAGGATAACATAATATAAATGTACTAATTTGTGAATATAAATAAAAATATAATGAATTAAATAATCATTCAGCAACATTTCTAAATCATAAATTTACCAGCAGAAGGTTGTGTTGATTGTTGTGGAGGTTGTGGGACTAAAGGTAAAATTTTTTAAAAATAAAAATACAATTTACTTGCTATCGATAAGATATGCATGCACATATTAGAAAAAATACTTTTACACATGTAAATTATGCATACACATATTAGAAAATAATAGTTTATAAACGTACCACTTGTAGCAGCTGAAGATGTAACTAAAGGTTAACAAAGTTGAAATAAAAATAAATATTGTGATTGCTAAGAAATGCATAAACATATGAAAAAGGTAAAATTTTGTAAACATACCAATTATTCCAGATGTAGATGGAACTAAGTTAAAAAAAAGTGTAATAAAAAATTAATATTGCAATTGATCCGAAATACATACATACATGAACAGGCTTTTTGAAGGATGCAATAAAAATATTTTTAAGCTTACCACTCAATGCAATTGAGGATGGAACTAGAGCTAAAAAGTTTTAATAAAAAATAAATTTGTAATGTTCAAGAAATGCAAAAATTAAAAATTAATAATTGCTAAACTTACCACTAATTGCAGATGAAGATGTTGCTAAAGGTAAAAAAAGTAATAAAAAAAATAAATTTTGCAATTGACGATTTTGAAATTGGTATTAAATCTATTTACAGATTAAAAAGTACTAGCTTTTAAAATAACTAACCGTAGCAACTGATAAAAGGAATGAAGATCAAAAATAATATAAATTAAACCAAGATATACATTCTTATATTTGATAATCTAGTTATCCTATACAAACTTACCTGTGGTAGGTTACAAACTTACCTGTGGTAGGCTGGGTAGATTGAACTAAAAATAACAAAAAAAGTGTATAATTACAACAAAACACTATGAAATTATGAAAGAATCATAGTTATGTGGAAGATGCAACAACTGTATTAACATAATGAAAACTAACAGTAAAAATGTAAAGAAAATATATTAATAAACAACAAGCTAACATTAGGAATGGTTATTCACTTTGTTTATATATTAATTACATTATATTGGTTGTGGTTATATATAAAATATATAATTTATACTTACGATATCTCAAAAAAGCTTCATAATGTGCAGCAGGATCTAAACAACATGTAAACATTAGGCATGCTTGTATTATGATTTAAATAATAATCCAAAGATAAAGAAGTATACAATCCAAAAATAATAAAAGATGATAATAAGATGATAAGTTTTATTATATTTGAAAAATGCTAACAAGATTTTTGCAAGTAATAAACCAATGAATTATCTGATTTGTATGTTGTGTCATAATAAAATTGACAACAGATACTAATAGTTAACAATACATTCAAAAGCAAAGTTTTAAATTGAAGCATTAATCTTCTTTTTAATGTAACATATAAAAATAGATTAAGAATTAATCTGTTTTTATAATAAAAAAATTTTATTAAAAACAGATAAATTATAGTTACATAAAAAAGAATTTTAAATAAGAAAATATTAACAAATGATATATAAATATTTCTTTGATTTAAAATAGTTATTATTGATATTATTATAAAAGAAATTAAACTTACTATCTGTTATAGATCTAACAACATCTCTGTTATTCATTATTTATTTTAATCTAAAAATAAAATTCAAAATAATACGATATTGGGATTTGTTATGTTTTTGTATAGTCGGCCCCCCTATCCACACCCGTAACAAGCTTAACGAAAAAAAACAACAGAAAAACCAAAATTATGTACCAAAAGTCTAACACCTAGTATACTATCTGCTACCAATTATTTTTCGTTGATTTTTGGCAGGTGCTTAGAAAATGCATATAAAATATAGAAAAACTAACAAAAAAAGCCGGCTCAACATTTCTTCGACATTAAATTAATGTGAGAACAGGGACAATATTTTCATGCAATATTGTCAGCAAAATAATACATAAAAATGTTAGGTAACCATGCATAAAAGTCATATAAAAATCTAGATCAACCTTTCTTCTTTATGAAAATAATTTATGTTTATGCATGTTTCTTAAAACAAACACAAAAAAAAACGTTTACCTAAGGCTACCTAAAATAAGTGTTATAAGTAATATAATACATTTTAAACTATCTGCTACCAATTATTTTTCGTTGAAATTTGGCATGCCCATAGAAAATGCATGTAGAAATATGTCTAAATAAAAAAAAAAACCGGCTCAACATTTCTTCTACTACAAATTCATGTGAGAACACCAACCAAATATTCAGAAGCAAAATAATCGATAAAAAAGTGTAATAACTATGCATAAATTTCTTAAATAAAGCAAGATTAGCTTTTCTTCTTTCCAAAAAGTATCTATGTGTATATCTGTTTCTAAAAAGAAATTCCACAAAACTACGTCTTCCTCACGCTGCCTTAAAAAAGAGTGAAAAAAACGAGAACCAAAATTTTAGCACAAAAATCGGTTCCGTAAATCGCGATATCCGCGTACCTATATATATGGCCAGAATTGAGACTAATCATTGGCCAGATATAGGACAATCGCTAAAAATTATACTTTAATATTGAACATATAAATTTTCAAATAAAAAAGAATTATTTAACAATATACAAAATACGCATAAATACATATACAGTTTTAACAAAATTATATGCCAATATTACTTTCAGTTCAAGCGATTTACAAACGCATTACATTTGAATGTAATCATTACAAGTTTGAAAATTGCAAACATCGAGCTTACGGAAACATAAAACTTATGAAATGCTTTTAAAATGTTACTGAAGTATTAGCAAGTCGATATAAGAATTTAAAGTACATATTTCAAAATTACAAGGTTAAATTAATATTTTTTTTTATTTAAAACAGACCAATTCCATCCTCCATCAAATATTTTAGTGCTTCTGAAAATCGGCCAGAATAAGTACGCGGCCAGTTTAGGCCGCTTTACCCTATATCATTGTATTAGTTTAAGCTTGGTGCTTTCACGTCCGAATAATCTAAAACGTCCGAATAATCTAAAACGTCCGAAAAGTCTAAACAAACTTTCTACCACGTCCGAAAGTTTGACTTCTTTTAAAAAAATTTTTTGTTAATAGTAAATGAGTCGATAAGAATCAGTATGGTGAATCAATGTTTCCTCTATTTGAGATTCTAAGGCTTTTTTCAATTTACTGTAGAAAACCCTACTAACTAAAAAAAAAAAAAAAACAAGTTTCTTTACACAAACTTGAAAACCCTACTAAAAAAAACAAACATGTTTCTTTACATAAACTTGCACCTTACACCAGTCTCAAATTTAACAGAATGATGTTTTGTATTCGTAAATATTGACTTTACTAATTTTTTCCTACTTACACCATGCTGATTCTAACCGAATCTTTTAACTCATGTTGATATATCCGTTCCTGTAACCACTGCGTCAATATTAACTTTTATTTTTGTCAATATTAATTGACAGAATAGTTACTAATAGTTGATGAAATAATATTGAACCAACCTGTTCTACTTAAACAAGTTGTTCAAGTTTGTTCATAGCGGTTTGATTTCTGCTAGAAAATTGTGAGTTACCCGTCTAGAACTTTCAGGCTTTTATATTTTATAAGAAACTAGCTTATTAACTTTTTTTTGATAATTTTGTATAAAGACTTTTACTTTTAAGGTTGTTTGTTTATAAAGTCAATTTTTGTTGTTTAATAAAAAGTGTGTTGTTTATCTTGAAGAGCTAACTTCTGTAATAAATTTTAAATTAAATTTATTGTATAATTGTGCGTATCCTTTCATGTTAATCAGTAGCTTGCTTTAAACCCATTGTTGTTTATTTTTTTAATTTGCTTCTAAAAAGGCTGCAAACAACCACTAATTAAATTAAGAGTAACATAAAGCAAATAAGATGAAATATTGTTGACAGAAGACTTGAAAAATTGCTTAAAATCACAAATATTTTAGATAGACAAATTTAAACACCTTGGTAGTAACGATGGATTTTATGTTTTTATTCATATTTTATGTTTTAGTCATATTTTAGATTATTAGAGAACTTGACTGAATCATAAGTACGGCATAAGCAATAAGCTATGCAGTTGCTTTAGTCTTGATAACAAAGTTCTATTTATGTGTCCTCAACAATGCACACATTAGATGCACTTGGAGTTACACCATCATTAGGAAACATAACACTTTTAATGTTCTGATTAACAGAATTCTTTTACTGCTAATTAGCTTCTAAGATCTACCATAGAGTTTAGGAAAAAGCCTCAGAATCAGTATACTCAATTTAAAAGCTGCTCATTTTTTAGGAGATAACAGAAAGACTTCCATAGCCATATCTTAAAGAGTGACAAGTAGAAACTCATGAGTGGAGTCATGAAGATCCAGCATTTATCATCTAGACAGGTTTAGATCTATGCCAGCTTATTAGTTAAAGAAGGGTAACAAGCATAAATATTTTGCATAACCCTAATACCTTTCAATCTCTCAGAAAGGCTGGTTTTTTAAGACATTATCTAAATGCAGTTTACATCTGTTTAAGGTTAGTATTATTGTTGAGACACTACCTCTAGCCTTTAGTTAACCAAAGGCCTTTAGTTAAACTTTGATAGTTAATTAACCCCCTATCTTTGGTTAACTAAAAGCCTTTAGTTAACCAGAGATAGGAGGTTAGTTAACTATCAAAATTTACTTGTTGATGTTGTTAGACATCACCAATGATAGTTCTAAAAGGTTTGTATATTATACATAATCTTTCAAACACATCAAATCAAGAGTTTTGATGTCAGCTCTGGCCATATTTGCGACATTTGTAAGGAAGAAAAGGTGAACTTCTTAGTTGAATTTCTTTCTGTGGTGCTCTGTGATAAGACAGTAAGGACTTTTTAGAGCACCATAGTAACCATAAAAAAACATTGAGTTATGGAAAATATCACAGAAAGGAAGCTGAATTTTTATAAAAAATCAGGGAATTTTATTCCTATATAATGGTAGAAAATCTGTAGTAGCAATTTGATGCAAAAGAAATTTGTTTTTTTTTCCTTTGAAGCTGCTATTTACAAGTGATTAATTCTTTTTTTTTATTGTCTTCCTTGAAATTCATGTAGGTGTTAATTTTCAAATTTTAAACTATTCCTGCTTTATTTAATGTTGTTGCTAATTGTGATTGTTTATAATAACTTTCTTTATCCACCATTGTTGTAGGTCCTCATCTTTAAACTTCAATATAAAAAATTATTTTATTGAATAGTCTTGACCACCTTCTGCATGTAAAGCATGTTTTTCACTTCTTAAAGTTTTAATCTTTTTAATTCAGCCTGGAACCATTTCTTTCAACATACTACAAATTATTGTTGTTTTTACTTATTTAATTATTCTTTTAAAAATAGTTAAAATAAAAAAAAGTGTTAATATATGAGGGAGGGCTTAAAGGCTTTACTAATAAATTGACAGTTACTTGTTTAACAAGTTACTTCACAGAAATCTTGTTGGATAAAAATAGTGGACATGGTAAAAGATGTTCAGACCAATTATCAGTATCAGACCTTTAAAAAAATTTAACTGTAGTGATACTTATATCCTTAATTTTGAATTAAAAAATTTTTGTTGACGTATTTTTTGGAACATTAATTTAGATAGAAAAATGCAAAATCAAACATACAGTGATTCATTATCTGATACAGAAAACTCTACAACAAATGATGAAGATGATGCATCAGATGACGATGAAATTGATAATAAACAAAGTTCCACTTTGAAACCAGCAGATTTAAAGCCTCAAGGTTTTTAAGTATTTTTTAAATGAATATTTTTAAAAATAATTTAAATTTTTTTCACTTCATCGATATGATAAAGATTTTATTATTAAACTAAAAAGACATAGAATTTAAGTATGTTAAAAATTCATTAGACTTGAAAAATTTATCAGGTTAAAAATGCATAGAATTTAAGCATGTTATGAACTGATCATAATTTTTTAAAATAAGTTAAGCATTTAAAAAACGTATGTATTTCAATTTTTTTCTATTCCATTCTGTGGAAAGTTTCCAAGTAATATTGAAATATAGCCATTACTTGTCTGTTATTATTAGAGCCAATTAAAAGGCTCGTCCTTGCTTTTTACAGGCCTCAGTGTATCAAATCACCTAATGGTCCCTAGGGTACCATCTCAAATTTGCTTCAAATTTTGACCACCCACAGTATTTATGAAAAAAATACAAGCCTCAAAATTTTAGCTTGATTGGCCACTGTTCAAAAGTTATGATTGATTTTATATTGACAAAAATTAGAAAAATTTAAATACCTACAAATAATTTAAATAGCTTACAGTAGATTTTTTGATCTTTGACAGAGCATAACGTTGTAAATAATAAAGGTGGTCACTTGAAATTTCATATGTTAATAGTTTTTAACCCAAGTAATCCAATTTTGCAGGTGTTTTTGACTGATTTTAAACAATTTTTGAGTTCTTGTACTTAAAGTTGCAAAAAAACACAATGTTATTTAGCAACTTTAAGTAAAAGAACTCAAAAAATAAAATTTTGGAAACTTTCAAATGTGCAACAGTCAATACCAACAGACAAGCTGTGCCAATTTTTTGTTACTTTTGTGTACTTAAAGTAACCATTTGCAAAAAAAAATTAAAATTATGTGTTAAAAGTTATTTAGCACTTGCAGCAGCCTGTTAAAATATCACTTTTAAAAAAAATATGATTCACTTTGTAGGCATAGAAAGTAGCATAGACAGTTAAAATAAATTGTGAAACTTTTTACTATTGAGGTTCTATAAATAGAAAATTACCCAAAAGATTCCAAGAACTATACTCTATCTTATGACGTAATTTTAGCATTTTGTGTGCAATCCTTTTTTAGTTTAAAAGGATACCTAATAGCACAAGTTATATTACATTTCAAAAAATAATAAAAAATAAAAATACTGAAAGAAGAAGTGTATATATACATGAAACACAAGTACACTAATTTCTTTATCTCTAATTTACATAGCTCATAATACTGTCATAATCATTATTAGCAAGTTTGTATTCACGAACACCTCTACCCTTAATGGATGGAGCACTTATTTGACTTATTACTTTGTCAAATGGAACCCAGCACTGTTTTGATTGTGCATCATTAGTCCATTTAAAATTCTATGCATGAATTTTATATTAATATTTTGTTTTTCATTACTAATATCAATCACAAGCCATATTTACCATTCATCATTGTAAAAACATGCAATTTATTTACTAGTTTGAAAGTTTGAAGGATCTTTTTTTGCTGAGTTAATCTTATTCAAATGGGTATCAAAGGCAATATCGCTAGAGATTCTCAGTAAAAATCATTTGTCTCCACCTGGTACAAAACTGTGATAGCTTCTTGTGCCTAGGACTGTGCTTATCTTTTCATATCATTTCTTTAGGTTAAAATAAGTTTCATGGTTATTGATATCATCACTTGAAATATAAAATATGTTAAAACCTTTAATTTTTTTTCAGCCCATGTAAACAGTTTATTTGGTGTAAGAATCTAGTTTGCATTGTTGCTCATAGACTCACTTTTACTGCTTCTCTTTTTATAGTTCCTCCTATTCCATCACATGGACTTTTGCCATGGGATGTAGCAAAGAAGTGATTCTCAGCATTTGCATTGTGCTCTTCAAGATGGTACATTAAGTTTAACAGACATTTGTAATTTTTGTACTGTGACACAGCACCATCACTTAAGTACTTGATTGATTGTGGGTAGTTTGATTTTGATCATTGGGAGTAACTTTGTGAAAACACAATGAACAGTTGTTTGGTCATAGTGAAGATGGTCAGAAGTTGTACAATAGCATTCACATTTGAGTTCACATTTTAGCTTAACTGGCTTGCCAGTAAAATCCTTGTATAGTGTCTTGCACAAGAAAACTATAGTTTTTTGCAAAATTCATAAGAATAAGGCAAGTGTGTTCATATAATGTTCTTTTTGCCTCTGATAAGTAGGAGGATTGTGCTTCTTTGATATAGTGGTGGTGACAAAGGTCATACAAAGTTTCACTTAGAGTTTCAATAAACTCAATTATGCTTGTTTGAACTGTGACAAGTGCAGTTTCCTCAGTTGATACCCATTGTTTAAATGTGATCTGATTGTCAAAATCAAAATCATTATTTTCAAAAACATTTTCCATGTAAGTCTTTAAATTTACTTTACCATGGCAGTTGGAACATTGTTGAAACATGCAGCTTCGACTCTCTATAATACAAACACATACTTTTATCAAATCTTTGTAATATATTAAATTGCCCTTAGGTAAAGCAGCACACATCAACATAGCATTTTTATGATAAGAATATACACAAACTGAGTGACTTTCACTACTGTCAACTGTGATGTACCACTTGGACCTTAGTTCACAGAACTTGATAAATCCAACTTTGTGTGTAGGGTAAAGCTTTTTAAACGCAAGATAAAGTTCTTTTAATTGAACTAATATTAAACGTTTTTGTTTATAAAGTTTTACATTATTTATACACACAGAAATAAAGTCTTTTTTCCTTGATATTGACTTATAAACTCTTCAGATTCATAAACTACAATGACTTTTGTTTAACAATATCTTCCAAAGGCTGTCCTATTTTAGGTTTAGCAAGTATTCCTTTTTCATTTTTCAACTTCCGAACATCTTTCTTAACAAGATGTTCTGAAACTGAAAATGTTTTGCAAGTTTTTTTCAATTGACCAACTATCAGGAGTTAGTGTTAGAAATTAAACTTTTTCTTCCTTCAAACTTATTTTCATTTTATTTTTTATTGCATCTAACAGTTTGTCTAAATCAGTTTATAAACTTTTACAGTTTATAAACTTTTGCTCTTTTTCTGATTCTATATCTTTTGGGTCTATATCCAACACTACTTGGTTTGTCATACTTGTTGCAATTTGTTTAGCTTTTTGCTTTCCATATGCTCATGTGTTGCGCTTACTTCCGTTTTTGAGTAGAGATATTTCCAATAAAAACACACTCTTATTAACAACTGTCTTATCAAGGTCTGAACTACTCAAATCTTCTTCAGCAGCTTCATCTTGACTACTGTAATTTTTTCAAGCTTGAGCTCATTTATACGGTTAGTACAAACTTTTTGAACAGGTTTGATCTTGAGTTAATTTGCTATTGATATGTTGACTTTACACAATCCCTTGATAATTTTTTTCTTGTGGACTATAAATGGATCACAATAGTATTTTTGAAGTGCTTCATATCTAAAAATATAGGCTTTTTTATGGTGAAAACATATTTCTTCATTTGGTTCGAAAGTGTATCCTATCCTTTAAATTAAAACTTCAATATCAGTATGTTTTAGTCTGATTCTTCCTACCACTCTACAATATGACATTTTATCACAATTTTCATTCAAAACTCTTCCCACACAATATTTCTCTGACATTTTTTACTAATCTAAAAATATTAAAATCGAGGGTTAAGCATGTAACATTATAATCTAAAAAAAAAACTTGTTTATATTTTTCCTTTAATAAAATCAGTAAAAATGAAATCTCAAGTACAAATGTGATTAAAACTGTCTAAAATGCAACCAATAAATTATTTCTACATATAACTATTTCTGCATACACCAAACTTTTCAGTTTTTGGTTCTTGCAATATTAAAAAATAAAATAATAAAATCAAGAAAATATTGTGTAGATTTAGATTTGAACACAAACTCTTGAAACAATTGAAGTATTTTACACTCTTATAACCATGTGAAAATTTTATCATTATAATTATATTATGTGCATAAAATTAAACAAATACATATTATAAAATGATATCAAATAAATTAAGTTAAGATACTAACTAATGTTATTTTAGGGAAAACTGATTATATTTATTCAGGGAAAAATTAAAATTATACAACTATTTTAGTAATTAAAAATAATTTTAGAAATTAAGTAATGCATAAAGTACCATTTTCTTTTTAAAATTGAAATGATAAAACGTTTTTCTAAAATTGTATTTATTTTTTTCATAGTAAAAAAAGCAAAAAATGTATATTTTTTTAACTGAGTTTTTCTAATATCTTTTAAAGTGATGGTTACATATCCATCTGATCATTATCTTCTCTTACAGCAATTACTGCATCATATAAATAGTTGCCAAAATTGGAACAGCCTCTTAATTGAAACAATTGAATTTATTTTGGAAATAAAATTTCTCACTAATTAAGTAAAAAACTACCTAAGTAAGATCCATATGTCTAATGTCTAAGAATATAGCCGGCAACAACTAGATCCCGTAGTAGATTCAAATCTTTTTATTTTCTAGTTTCATGTTATGATAAAAAATGTTAATTGACAGTTTTAATAAATTTAATCCAAAATAAGTTTACTAAATTATCATTAAAATATTAAAAATTCTTTAATAAAACTTTAATGAATAAATATACCTGTGCTGGTGTCAAATAATTTCACTATATTTTTAAAAACCATTTTGTGTAGAAAGGACAAAAAAAAAAAGTTATGATTCTAGTATGTGAAATTTAAATCTATTTGATAGTAGAACCATTAAGATTCTTACATTTTCATCCTAAAATTTTTTTTTATATATTTTAAATTTGTTTTCTTTGTTATTTGCAAAAATTTAGAAAAGATACTTTTATCTCCTTTTTGATGGTCATTAAATTGATCACAAACTCAAATTTTGATTAGATATGAATCAGTTTTTTTCTAAAAGGGCAGATTTGCTCAAGATGTTTTGAGCAAATACACTGTTTTAAAAAGCAACAATACTTGTCCATGTAAAACCACCATCTATATTTTTTCTCTAGAACATAAAGTAGTTTATAAAAGGGTCAGTCAATTACACTCAAAAACATTCTTGTCTTGATAAGAAGCCCACATTCTCTGATTGCTTGGAGGGGGCATTTGAGCTTCACTTTTGTTACAAAATGGAGCTTGCAATTTTAATTCAGATAAAACCCAATTTTTTTTCAGCCAATCATTATCAAAATAAATTAGATCTTCCTTTATTTATGAGCGTTAATGTACTCAATGAGTCATCTACCCTTCATCTTCTAGGATTAACTCTTACTCCCAATCTTTCTTTGGAAACCATATATCGAATCTGTTGTAAAATTAGCATCTGCTAAGATTGCATCTCTTTATCATGCTTGACACTTTCTAACTTCGGATTCCATTCTTTATCTCTATAAATCTCAAATCCGTCCTTGTATGGAATACTGTTGCCATATCTGGGGCGGATCTTCCTATGATGTCCTTTTTCTTTTAGATAGGGTGCAAAAGTGCGTTGCAAACATAGTTAGCAAACATAGCAAACATGCAAACATAGACCTGCTCTTGCAGCCAACCTCAAACCATTATCACATCGTCATAATGTTGCTTTTCTTTCTCTTTTCTACAAATACTATGATGGGCAATCCTCTAAAGAGCTAGACTCTCTTGTGCCATCTACGAAAGTTCATTCTTGTGTTACTCGTTGTTCAATTAAGTCTCATCTTTTTTCTGTGACTGTTCCTAGGTGCTCTAAAAACTAGTTTTTTTTCCTTGAACATCAGTTCTTTGAAATTTTCTTCCTTCATCTTGATTTCCTGATTCATATAATTTTGTAAATAAAGTTGTATGTTAATGGTTTTCTTACTCTATAAACTTCATCTTTTCTCTTCCAGTAACTTCCAACTCTAATAGTGGTTGCTTGCCGTCTTGTTGGAAGCGAAGATGTTAAAAAAAAAAAAAAAAGTGATGTCACATACAAGTAGCAATAATAGTTTTTAAATTTGTTGAACTATTTTCATAAAAGAACCTTACCATCTTCTTTTATTTGCTAAAATGTTTTAAAGCAAATACACTTAACTTTATCATCTAACTCATCATCAGTTCAGCAATAGCTGCATTTTGATAAACCTCTTAGCTAGACTCTATTGGAGAAATACCAAACTGTTTTTCCATTAATTCTCACTAAAACTGTCGTTCTAACTTTGTTTATATGTTTTTCCTCTGTTAATTTATTAACAAATTTCCCAACAAAATGGTCATAAGTTGATCTGATACTATTGCATTAATTTTTTAATGTGTTTTCCTTTTCTAATAACATTTTATGACTTTTTTCAAATATTCCGCTTAACTTTTTCACTAAAAATATATCATGTTAGTTTTAATCATATCATAATACTTTTAGCTTTTTTTAAGTGGACTTTTATAAGTATTTTTATTTTTTTATTTGTAAAAAGTTTTATATAAAATACATCCAAATCATCCAATACATCCAATACATAAAATTAAGAAGATTTTTATTGCAAATAAACTTGCAGTCTTCAAATGTAAACAAACATACAGTTTGAAAACATCTTGAATAAAAAATCTTTTTCAAACTTATATACTGAGATAACATGGGTCAGAAGTAAATAATGAATAATGAAATGTATAGTTATTTTTATTATGTTATTGATTAATATGATATTAATTATTATTATATTATTAATTATTTATGTTATTTGATGTGTGAAATTAATGTAGCAAAAAATATTAGGCACACACCTTATAAGTATATTGTTCAAAAAATTTTTTATTTTATTTTCCTTTTAGTTTATACTTTAATCTTAATTTAGAGGTATTCGTGGCACCAAAAGATTCCCCAACAAAAAAAAAAGTTTTGAGTAAAAGTGCAATGCTTACTGGACGAGGTGTAACTACACAAATGTTAATTGAAGAAAATATTCTTGAGGCTGGGGAAAACAATTTAACCATTAATTATTTGGTAATTTATGATGTTTTATAAACTTTTGAAATTAGTTTTTAAATTGAAGTTTTTAAAAAGATTATATTATTTATTCAAAAAAAGTAGACTGCTCTCAGTAATTTTTTTGGTTGTTTGAGAATTTATAGAAAGGGACTTAAAAAGGTATTAACAAATTATTTTAATTTTAAAAAATAAAAATATAAAGTAATAAATAGTATTTTTTACTGCTTTCAATTAGTAAGTGACCGAGTTTATATTTGACTAAGGCCGGAGCTGGGTTTGATAAAATATAACTGGGGCCAGGCCCAGGGCCTGGGCCAGATTTGTGACCGGGGATGCATAAACATTTATACATTTATACAGTACATTTTATTTATTCAAAATTCATGTTATATTTTGTATATATATGCATATATAAACATCACTATGATCAAAATGATCACCATAATCATCATTATTATCATGATGATAATGATGATGATGATGATAATCATCATCATCATCATCATCATCATCATCATCATCATCATCATCATCATCATCATTATCATCAGTATCATCATTATCAATATCATCATCAACAACATAAAAGAGAAAGGCTAAAGCCTGATGATGATGATGATGATGATCATCATCATCATCATCATCACCATCATCATCATCATATCATCATCATCATCATCATCATCATCATTATCATCAGTATCATCTTTATCATTATCATCATCAACAGCATAAAAGAGAAAGGCTAAAGCCTGATGGTGATGATGATCATGATGATGATGATGATCATCAGACTTTAGCCTTTCTCTTTTATGTTGTTTCTCTAATATAAACAATCTAGAGAGTTTTTTTTTCTTAACTAAAGCTCATTCATACAATATGTATGACACTCTCTTCATGTTTTCTTACTTCTTATTTTCTACTGAAACTGCTACCTCTCTAAATGCTGATGCCTAAATTACTTTAATCTTTTCTAAAAAATATTATTTGATACAACGTTTTTTCTAATCTGTCTAAAACTATGCCTTCTTTTCTTGTCTTGCTAGAGTCACACCACACACCCATCTTGCTAGAGTCACACCACACACCCATCTGATCAACTTCTCTTTCGGCAAATACTACAGCATATAAATACTAAAGTTTATATAACAATGAAAGGATATTGTATACCAGCATCTAAATAAATACCAGACATATATGTTTATATCCATAATATTTATGCATAAAGTGTGTTTTGGAAGCTTTTATTCTTTTGGGAATAAAAGTTTGAAAGCATTTATTACTTCTCTTCCATTTTAAGTCAAGCCTCTACTCTACATTTTTTATTATCTTGAGCAGTAGCTTTATTAAACATTAATCATTTTTTTAATCTTTTTTACAAGAACATCTCTCTTAAGAACAAATGTTCATTTATCATTACAAGAAGCTAATGTATAAAAGTCTTGTCTGATGTTAAGCTCTGTTATGCTCAGTTTAATAAATCTTGTATTTTATCTCAGATGTTAGGTAATAGAGACTTTTGGTTACTCTTCACCAGTATCATTAGCTAAAGTAAGTCTAACATTTGATTCTAATTCAAGGGTACGATTTTTTTACTTTTCCCCAAAATAAAGCAGAGTTATTTGCAAAGAAACCTTACTCTGATTTGATTCTTGAATATAATGGCCATTCTACTCATCACTCTGGCTTCCAATGCCAAAGTTAATTCTAAATTAAGCACTTATACAGTTTGTTCTTCAAAATAGATTTCCATCATTGTCTTAAAAAAGTGATCTCCATCACTCTCTTTAATTTTTGCTAAACTTTTAAAAAGTCCTAAATAAGTACTTCCAATTTTTCAAAACTCTAGAAAACACTTTGACCTCTCTAACTGTTCTATGATTATTCTTCACTCTGTTATTAGTTTCTTTATATAAAGGTTTCAAGGTTATTAAATTATTTCTTTCTAACTGCCGTAGTAAAGTTATTCTTGAAGTAACTTTAAAGGTACCAAGGTTCTTTCTTTGTTCCTGTATTGTTTTTTGTGTGGCTCTATTTGCTGACGACTCAAATTTATACTCTTGTCTTGACAAAAAATCTTTACTTTTTAATTGCAATTTTAAATCTGATCTTTCTTCTGTAACAGCCTAAGGCTAGTAGTGGCTTATAGATTTGAATTCAACAACAAAAACCCATTTATTTACGCAAAAAAATATTGCAACATTGTTGGCATTCCTATATTGACAAATGAGAACATTCAGACAAGGTCTAAAAGCTCATTAGATCATTAGCTCAAATTAGACCTGCTTTATCTGCCAAGCTTGAGCCACTCTCTCATTTTTGTAAAGTGGCAATTCTTTCTTTTTTTTACAAATACAATCATGGTCAGTGCTCAATTAAGTTATCATCTCTATAACGATAAACCAGAACTCATTCTTGATGGCTTTTTATTTAACAAGTTGCATTCTTTTACTGTATCTATCCCTTCATGCTATAAAAACTCTTATTAGTTTTTTCCTTGAACATCTAAAAACTTTATAACTCTCACCCATCTTCATGTTTTCTTTTTTTATACAACTTACAACTTTTTAAGTCTAGTATTTTAACTTATTCTCTATTTTAAAGTGACTCATAACTTAATAGTGGTTGCTTGCAATCTTGTTAGAAGTAAACTAAAGTTTAAAAATGTATAAATAAATTCCATTTAATAAAAAGTAAATGTAAGCATAAAATTATAATATATTAAGTATTTTAAATTTTTTTCTAGTCCCTGCTATCAACCCCTGCTAAATCTTATATTTATAGCTAAGGCTGGGACGAGGGCGCTGATCACTTACTACTATCAATAATATTTCATTTAAAAGTAGAAAAGTGTGATTAGTTGAGAGCAAATGAGCAAATGTGTGACCTAAGTTGAAAGCAAATGTGTGACTTTAGATAAGAGCAAATGTGTGACCATTTTTATAGACAATAACTTTTTTATGGAATCAGCAACAAAGATTTGCTTTAATTTAAAGGTGAGTGTCATCAAATGAGTTACTATAACAAATAGCTAACACAGTTAACACTATTGTTTTAAAAAGCACAATTGAATCTTTTGTTTCTATTTAATAATTAGCTAAAAGTATAAGTTAAGGTATGTAATAACAAGAAAAGTTTACAAGAGGTTTTTTCTGTTGATAAGGGTTAAAATCGTTTTTCTCTATGCTGATAAATATATTTCTTATATGATATTTTTATAATTACCTTATTTAATTGCAAGAAATTAGTGTGAAATTATATATTTGTGTTAAGCTTTCAAAGCTAAAGCTCAGCCTAAAAACATTTTTTTAATGCTTAGTATTTTTAGATGACTAGGTTTCATGAAACAAGTTAAGCTCCAGATTTTGAAAAACTTTAGAAATATTCTTAACAAAAAAAAGTCTAATATCCCAGAGTCTAATATCTCTTGCGTCCAAATCTCTTGCATCCAGAAGGTTTTTTTTAGTAACATTACTGATGATAAGATCAAACTTCCGGCATCTTGCTGTTCATTCTTTCATAAAATTCACCTACTCGTTCTAAACATCCTTTCACAGTCGTTGCTCTAATGTGCTTAAAAAAATTGTAATTTGTCTTTCTTTTTTATGTACATCAATACTTTAGGATTTTTTTCTTCACTGTTTAACCTGTCGATTTGTAATAATTTGCAACAAGTCAATGTTAAGTCAAAAGCTGCTTCTTTTTTTTTTTCTTTTTTAAAGAGAACTTTATTAAAGTTTAAATCATTGCAAAGATTTTAATAAATTTTCATTCATGAAAAAAATTCATGAAAAAGAATTTTGGAAGTTACATTTTCACTCATTTATAATTTAATTTAATTTTACTGTTGTTTATTATTATGATGCAGAGTTTCATAAAAGAAAAAAAAAGAAAGAAAATTAATAAAAATTAATCAACAACTATGCTTTACTTAAGATATTTAACTGGCTTTTATCTAAATTTTATTTTCTTTTTATTTAAGACATTAGCACTAATTTATTTTCATGATCAATTAACAGAACTAGAGAAAGTTAATTTTCAAAGAACTAAATTTAAAGTTTATTTTTAACTATCAAAACAGACAGTTTGGAAAAGTCAGGGTCAGGGTTAGGTTTAGGGTTCTCTGAATCAGATTCAATATTGATGTTAATGAAAGTTTTGAATTTAAAAAAAAAAACTTTATTTTTAAATAATTTGTAACTAAAGATGATAATTGCCTTAAATTATCTTAAAATTAATATTTAAAAATGTTTTGGTTTTTTATTAAACAAGTGCTCTATTACTACCACACTTTTAAAGTTTTCAAATTTGTAATCTGTAAACATTACCATTTTCTCAATATTTCAAGTAAAATTTATGATTACCCTTTATTATAAATTCTCCAAGTATTATAAATTCTCATAGTTTAGCATCTTTAAACAGTTTAAAATTACTTTTTAAATTATTTAAATTTTAAACAGGAACAAAAAAAGTTTAAAATATCTTTTGTATTTAATATAGCAACCTGGGAGTATCCTGGTAGACAACCTGGAAGTATTTTTAAAATTGTAATAAAGTTGACTACTACCCTCACCCATTATAATGATTTTGATTTACTTTTTTAACTTCTATATTGAATTAGTATTTTTATTTTAGGGAAATAAGTTTGTAGGAGACTTAAAAGAAGATGGTACAATTAATTGCAAAAATGCAAATCGAATATTTAGTTCTCCTTCTGCTTGGGCCATGCACTGCAAAAAGCAGGTCAACCCTGATAAAAAGTCTGGATGTGGCTGGGCTTCGGTAAACTTTTTACATGATTATTCAATATTTGTCAAAAGATAAAATCATGTTTTAATAATTTTTTTTTTAACTTTTGATCACTCTATGAATGCTTTGAACAGATGTTCTGTCTAGAATTACACATCTGTTACTCTAAAATATTTACTCTGTAACTCTAGAATCTTTCCTCTGTAATTTTAGATTCTTTCCTCTGTAACTTTAGAATCTTTCTTCCATAAGTCTAGAATCTTTCCTTTTTAATTCTAGAATTCTTTTTTTTCTATAAATGATTGAAGTTATAGAGTAAGTTATTTTAAAATTAATTTTTGTTGAGTTAAATAGTTCATTCTTTGCATTTTAAATATTGTTTTGTTTCTGTATCTATTAATTAAAAAAAGGGGATTTATATTTACATAATTGTCAAAGGGTTTAAAATCTATTATTTTTAAACATGGAGTCTTGTAATCCTTAGCCACCATTTTATATAAAGACTCTAGTTCAATATTGATAGTTTCTGTACTCTAATTTTATGTCCTAATTTTTTTTTGCACAAGTCAATGATAGTTTCTTAACATTTTTGGAGTTCAAGATCACCAAAGTTCTGGAATAAATAGAGATTTAGTGACTTTCAAAACAAACACAAAATAAAACAATAAGGCAAAACAAGGACAAAATAAAGACCTCAAATTATCTCATATTTTATTTTGCAAATCAAATTTACATTTTGAGTAAACAAAAATTTAGTTTTTAAATGTTATTTTATTTTATATTTTTCCAATTTTGTTATTTAAAGTCACTTTACTTGTTACTTTTAACTCCTATTTCTTTAATTTTTGCAATCTCTTTTTTACTACCACTATGTTTAGGTTTATTTATTTATTTAATTTTTTACAGTCCCTTCTTTACTGCTGCTATGATTGACTCTCTTAATGATATTTTTCCTATAAAATAGTTAATGGTAGAGTACAGGGAAAATCTTTTTTGTATTGTTCAGTTTGAAAAGTGAAAAAACTTTAAATTATTTAAACCTTTACTTGTGATGTTTATTTTATAATAAAAAATTGTTATGTAGATGATGTTATAGCTAGTTATGAGTTTCAATTATTATTAGTTTCAATAAAATTTATAGGTAAAATATAAAGGAAGAAAACTTGATGAATTCAAGTCCACATGGTTTCGCAAGCAAAAGATTGAGCAAGCTGTAGCTGCTTCAACTATTGATGCTGGTGTATGCTTTTTCTCTTAAACTATTTTTTATTGATTTTATTTCAAGTTTTAATTTTAGATTGTTGATTTAATTTGTAAAATTAAAAGTAGAAATAAAATCTTTTAAAAACCATTTGCATATATGTGCATAGAATTCTACTCCATATGCACACCAGCGAGCAGAAATTGATGAATTTTTAGCTGATCCCACACCATCTGAAAAAAATAAACTAAAGAAGTATTCTGCTTCATCCCTTGATGATCCAATAAAGTCTAGTTATGTTCCACCAACTACAAATTATTTGACTTTTAGCGAGGCTTTAAAAGTTGTTCACGCTGGTCAAGCTAACTCCTTGAAAGTTGCTAATGCTGGCCTAGTCAAAGTCTCTAAATTTCCTGACAAACCAACTTACCAAATGTATGTATATAACTAACTTTAAATTAGTATTTTTTATTATTATTTTTTGTATTAAATATTTGGGTAGAACAAGAAGTACTTATTTTTACTCTAGAAAATCTAACAATATACCCTCTATACAGTTAACTGGTCAGAAAGGTAATCAAAATTTTTCTTTAATCAATCAGGAAGGTATTTCTAGTATAAATTTATTGTATTATCTGTAACCAGTTAAACTAAATTAATTATTTAAATTATATCATTTATTTGTTCATTGGTACTTTCAAAAGAAAAAAATATTTTATAGTTATTTTTTAATTATTATTTTTGATTACATGTGAGCAATTTGTTTTTAAGTATTTAGTTTAAATGTTATCAATTTATTTTTTAATACTTACATTTGTTTACATGCAAGTTATTTTTAAATTCTGTTGACATGATTACAAGTGAACAAGTGAACAAGGAAACAAAATTATTATAAATATATATTTTTAAATTTATTTTATTAAAGCCAGAAATTAAAAATTGCTTGTTCCAGATTTTAAAGCATTTCATGATAGAGCAGAAATAATCTGATAAAAGGTTGTCCCTTAGATTAACAATATCATTTTAACGTTTTTGTTTCTTCACTTGAACATGCTTGGTATTTCTTATAATGTGGTTTTTCTAATAGACTGTGCCTATTGGAGAAACCGTCAGGCCTTTTACTACAGCCTTCTCCAACAACACCTCTGTTTTTTTTTAACTATTTGCTATACCACACAGTACAATATATAAATTTTGTCCACTGAAGCTAGCATCTCAGCAACTACTTTCTGTTTATGAGGTTTTGTATATGGTTTGTGCTTAGTCAAGCACAGAGAGCTGTCTTTTTCGCTATGAGTCTTTTTCCAATTGCTATAACATTTCTCATTTTCTTCTATTTTCTTATATAATTTATAATTTGCGAAATAATTTTAATGAATCCTTGTCAAACAAAGTTTCATCAAATTTGTTTAACTTATCAAGCAACTTATTTTTGGAATAAAGTTGTTTAGCCCAATTTTGATTTTATTAATTTTGTTTATTAACGTTGTTTAGCCCAATTTTGATTTCAAATGCTTTTCGAGTTTTTAAAAACAAGTTGAAAAGATAAAAAATAAGATTTTGAATATAAGTTGAAGAGTTTTTAAAAATAATTTGAAGATTTCCTGGTTTAAAAAGAAAGAAAAAAGAAAATAAAGAAAGAGCAAAAAAAAAAAAAAAAAACTTATTATAAAAAAAGAAACTTTTAACAAATAAAAACTCAAAAATAACATTTAAAAAAACAAATAAAAGAAAATTTGAACATCGATTTTTACTCAACAAAAAAAGAAAAAGAAAAGAAAAGAAAAAAAAAAATAGTTAAAAAAGAGATAAGTTAATAAGTTATTAAAAAGATAAGAAGAAAAGATCAGTTTATTAAACAAGTAGATATTTTTTATAGTTTTTATTTGTATCTATTATTTTTTATCTTATTGTAATATTACACTTTTTTTTTATTTATATTACTACAATTTATTATTAGTTTTCTTATTTTGATATATTATATTAAATATTTATTTTTATTATTATTATATTTTTTAATTTATATTTCTCTTAACTTTGATTAGTTTTTTTACTCTTTTAGTTTGATTTTATAACTTTTTTAATATTTTTGTTTTTGTTATAGTTTACTGTTTGTTTGGCTGTTGCGTTATTGTTCAACTACCATTATTTTTATTATATATTATAATTGTTAGTTTTTCGATGTTTTAATTGGTTATTGTATCTTTGTTTAGTATTTTTATGTTTAGTATTGTTGTATCTTGTGTTTCTTTGTTTAGTATTGTCATGTATTTTTGTGCATTGATTATATTGTCTTGTGGGATGTTTATATTCTCATTTATTTTTATTATACTCACACATAGGTGTCATTATAATGTGTGTAAAAGTTTAGTTTCTTTTAATATTATAAATTAATTTTTTATAATAAATGTTTGTATCGTGTGGTAGGCTGTTACATTTTGTCAGTATATACTGTTTGTAACTTCCCCGTCTGTACTTATATATTAAATTGTTGTTTGAAAATTAATATTGACTTTTTAATATTATATTATTTCTTTATTATTGTAATAATTGTCGCTTCGTTTATTAATTATTATTTCTATAATTATTGTTAATAATTGTTAGTATTAATATTTATTGTTAATATTAATAATTATTATTGCTATAATAATTATTATTATAGAAATAATAATTATTAATATTAACATTAATAATTATTATTGCTATAATAATAATTATTAATGTTAATTAATAATTATTATTATTGCAATGACAATAATATTAACTATTGTTAACATTATTGTCATTGCTATTGGTATTTAAATGCATTATTTAATTTTTGAATATTTTATATTTATATTTAATAAACCATTTTAACTCTTATTTGTTTTATTTTTATAATTAGTTTAATAATTAATTGTGTAATATTTTTTTAAAAATACTACTTATAATTATAAATATTAAGGTTTTTATATTCGTTGAATCATTTTTTTTCTATAACTGTGTTTACGTCATTACAAGGACAATGACGTAACTGCTGGGCTGGTGTATATTCAGTTTTTGTTTTAGAGATAGGGTTTTTTGTTATTATTTTAATAAAATTACGGCTGATTAAATGATTACGTATTGTACCAAAAGTACTAAACATAATAATTTAATTAACCAAAATTTTATGTTTTGTTTGTAATCTTTGTTTTAAATTTATTTTTTTTGGTTTTTCTTAGCGATTTTCGGTTCATATTTATTATTTTTATTATTATTTTATTATTATACTTATTTTTATACTTAATTGGTGTCACTCATTTTGATCATGAATGACACTCATGTCATGAGTGACACTCATGTCATAGTACAGGACCAAGGATTGAACCCTGATGTATCCCAAAAGTTACTGGAAATAAAGAGAAGTGTTTGTCTTCTAGGATGACTTTAATGCTGCAGTTAGAATAAAAATGATTTGATAATCTTGAAAAATTTTCCCAGGTACACCATTCATCATTAACAACAAAATTAGCATAAGGATAAAGGGGAAGGGAAATAATTTGATCAGAAATTACATCTAAAAAAGAGAGTAGTCTTGAGAAGAAGAGAACAATAGAGAACAAAGAGAAAGATAATTGAGTGAAAAGGTACTAGACTGAAGCACTTGAAAAATGGATTCAAATCTGATTTCAAGGCAAATTGGTGGATTGATGCATAAGTATATGCCCAAGCCAAGTATGTAGTATTAGAGTTTTTGCAAATCAAAAGATAGTATCTATCAATGCTGAAATCCAAAGAAGAAACAGCTGAATTTAAATTAGTCTCACAAAGAGCAAGCTGGTTAATTTTGAAAGTAGTACGGTTTAACTGATGGAAAGTTCTAAGACTACAAATTTTTGCAAAAGATATATTGAAAGTTTGCTTGTAGTGATGGTTTTTTTTTATGTTTAATCTTTTTAGTTACTATAGCCATTATTTAAGTTAAAGAGAACTTGACTCATTCATAGAAAGAACTTGGCATCCCATCCAATGAACTTTACAGTTACTTTAGTTCTGCTAATTAACCCAAAGTTGTAACTTTGGGCTACTTATGTGACCACAACAATGCATACCAATAGCACTAACAAGGACTCTATTCATGCTCAACATGGTAATTTTAATATTGTATAAAGTGTTGTGATTTTTTACAGCTGTTTATGGAATCAGCCTTTTTTTAGCTGGTGGGTAACTGTGATTAGATAAGTTTAAATTTCATTCACTTTTTAAATTAAAAATCATTATTTGTTTTAAAACAATTTAACAATATTAACTTAATATGTTAAAGAAGATTTTAAAGTTTTGAATGTTAATAGTTACAATTTCTTTTGTTGCATTCAGAATTTCCGAAAATACATAACGATTAGAAAAATGTTTGAGTTTTCTATTCAGAAACCCACTTACGCACTATGTTAAATGCAATAAAATCAAAACTCCGCTAACTCATTTAAATCAAAAATCCTCCAACTCATTTAAATCAAAACAATGGACAATGTTACGGACAATGTTTTCCTTTATACAAATCAAAACTCCACCAACTCGTTTCAAAATTTGTCTCTCGGACTAATATCTTTTAAAACCTGAAAATGAAAAGATGAAAGATGGAAAATTTTGAAGCTCTTAGTTTATTTTGAATCTTTTTCAAAGAAATCCAAGTTTCAGTTAAACAAATTGTACTATTATCAGTGCTGGATTATAATGGAGGATTAGGGGGACTATTCAATAAAAAAATTTTTTTAAAAGAAATTCTGAAAATAAAATATTTGATTAGTGACATGGAGATTTTGTTTTAAAATAATCCCAAAAAGTCCTAATTTACCACTAATTATTTTACTTAAGTATTTCCAGTGTAAAAAATATTTATTTTATTTATTTTTAATGGGTACCTGCCTGTTCATTTGACGGGTACCTGAGCAGGCATTTTCATGATTTTCTAAAGCTCTACTACCAGCCTACCTCAAAATCATTATATTGAGTAAAACAGCCGTGGGTACAGAGTAATAAATAAAATCCTTTATCATTAAATCTTGTATGTATTCAGCTTTGCAGACGGTCAAAATACTTGAAAACAGCTTTCTAAATTGTTTTGGCATGCTCATTAAAACTGCCTCAGAAAAGATATACTTTCATTTAATATCACCAATAAACTGTTTAAAGTGCATGTTTTGTAAATTTTTTTTCAGATTTTAACTGTGCAAAAACACAAACTTTATGACTTTCGTTTACATTTTATTATAAGCTAAACAAAAGAATGTTTTTTGAGAACCAAATAAAAGATTTACGATACACCCTTAAATATAATAAATATATAGATGTAACATAAAAAATGTATGAATGTAATATAATAAATATATGAACGTAATATAATAAATATATGAACATAATATAATAAATAAATGAACTTAATATAATAAATATATGAACGTAATATAATAAATATATGAACGTAATATAATAAATATATGAACGTAATATAATAAATATATGAACGTAATATAATAAATATATGAATGTAATATAATAAATATATAAACGTAATATAATAAATATATGAATGTAATATAATAAATATATGA